ACCTCCCTGACCACCTCCCTGACCACCTCCCTGACCACCTCCTCCTTCAAAACCTCCTCCTCCTCCACCACCTCCCTGACCACCTCCTCCTCCAAAACCTCCACCTCCTCCACCACCTTCCTGACCACCTCCTCCTCCAAAACTTCCACCTCCTCCACCACCTTCCTGACCACCTCCACCTCCAAAACCTCCACCACCACCCTGTTGTCCACCTCCCTGTCCACCGCCAAAACCTCCGCCACACATCGCAGGATTATACTGTCCACGCAACACATTCTTTCTTTCGTGACCGAGATAATTCCCAGCCGGGAAGTACCTCGCTACGACATACGTGCACTTCATGCCATCTGTATAGCCGAAAGCTCGACCGATGCCTAAATGAGATGTTGGTCGCCAGACCAGTTGCGTGAAATAATCCACGTAGCCACGACTTTTTGATGGCGTGTCGAAATTGTAGCCGCAAACTTGGCTGTACCTACAAAAATAATACGGGTTAGACCATAGCCTATCGAAGAATGTAGTATTTATTATTTTTATATGTTGGGCGCTCGGCCTCTGATGCTAGTGGTGTATGGAATTTTGCGAAAGGACAAGCGCGCGTTAAAATGTAAGTCTGAACCGTGCAGATCCAAATCACGCGCTCTGCTTCGGGACAAATTGCATAGTATATAGCTGCAACCACAAACACCCAAGAAGAAACAGAAAATATGCATGCATATGTGAAAGTATTCAACCGTTCGATCATCATTTGAATATGCAAAAAGTTGCTCTCCGCACGTTGACTCGCTCAAGTTAGAAAATATAATAATCCCTTATTAAGTCAACTTTTGTTTATTTCGCTTTACACAAAAGACAAAATATACCAGTCGAAAAAGGATTTAACGACAGTTCTTGTGGGGCTACAAGTGAAACACAAATAATGATAGGACAGTTTAATACTTTGACATGTGTCCGAATACACCCTTCCAGAAAGTATACGTCACTTCAAAGCTTATTGGCAAATTCATAAGCTTATTGGCAAATCATATCAACCATAATATGTCACGTGCAGTGGCTTTAAACCTGATAAAACACTCCTAATTAGTATTCTTTATACAAAGAATACTAATCAGGCAGTATCTATTGTAGTCGTGTCCTCATTAGTATTCTTTATATTTTATATGGCTTTAAACCTAATAAAACACTCCTGCTCGTTTATGAAACAGTACTTTGGCTATAGAGGCTCGTTTTCAGGTATACGATATTAGCAGGGACGCCGGAACGACGAGAGGGCAAAGGGGGGCAGTCTTTCGTCGAAGGGCACTTTTGAATTGATATATATTAAAGGACGTTTACGAAACATCCGGATTTTAACGCTGCCATAATCACGTTTCTGATTTGTAAAGAAAGAGGGGGGTCTGCGGTTCTCCCCCCAGAGGATTTTGATATTTTTGAAGCTCAATGACTGCATTTCTGGCACAAAAGAATTCAGCCAAAAATGCCCAAAATGACTGTTGTCGTTCGCGAAATTTGAGCTACAGTATATAGAGGCTCGTTTAAATCAAGTTATTTCAAGTAATTTTACTTTTTATATATTGCTATCGATCGCTTTAAAGTTATTTTAACTTCGCCCTCCTTCTCGGCCAAATTTTTTTACAGAGGTCTTTGCGAAAAATATGAGGTGACACGCACGTTAACAGCAAATTGGAACAACACTGGAATCATATAAACTTAATTTCCATACATTTCTTACAGTTTTCCAGCTAAAGTTTGTTATTTGAAGTATTTGAAGTATACTATCTAGCAATCACCATAACGTCAAGCTCGTAGAAATAAATTTTTAGTCAGAAAACGTTCAATAAGGCCAAAAAAAAATATGTGGGTTTCCGGTTTCTTCTTATAAAATTCTTCTTCTTATTAATTCTTCTTATTTTTTTTTAATTTTGCTAACAACCGGACGCCATTTTGTTTAGTCAGCGCTTCCACATCCAAAGGTAAATTTCCCTAATATTGCCTCAAATTTCAATTTTCCACAAACTTTTCCCTCTAAGTGGAAACACTTACAAGCATGATCCAATAAAAAAGTTTAGGGTCGGGATTTCTACGTCCAAAAGCTAGGTAGGGTCGGGAAACCGGAAACCCACATATTTTTTTTTGGCCTAAATAATGGTGAGGATAATTTGCAAAATATCTCAGTTTGACAAAATATTTTATTTTGTCATTTTGAATTTTCTTGACAATGCAATGACCCATGTTTTAAAATTACTTATGCAACGAAATTTCACACAAACATATCACGTATATAGACTAGAAAATTAGTTAGCCTGCGAACAGGCAGGCTAAAAATTAGTCAAACCACAATGCTCGGAAACATCTATTATAAATACAAACCCAGCGGGCTTACCATGCCTTTGTTACGTCACTTCCGGTGATGTGATTGCCACATTGTACAAAAAGATTTTCGCCAACTCCCGGACCAATATAAGGATCACGTTTGACCTTGTAAAATCCAGTTTGGGCCAATCTCTTAGCGTAACGTGCAGCCTGACGGTCAAGACCGCGATTTAATTTGAGTGCCTGAGCGTTATGTGTCTGTCGGTACTTATTGTGTGCTTGTAAAGCATCGTTTCGGAATGCTCGAAGACCTGTTTTGAACAGAACAGAAAAAGTATTAGTCTGCTCAATTATCTAGAAATAAAATTGGAAAGACCATATAAGCTGTGCCTAATTTAAAACAATCGTTCATAATATGATATATAAAAAGTGTTGGAGTTTATTAATTAACAAATATAAAACATTTTCCGTGTTGATATAGTTATATCAACACGAGTGGAAATTAGGAAGACGAGAAATTGTGTGGAAACACGACGCCCGCAGGCACCGGGTACGAGGTTGCGACGCCAGAAAATGCGGAGTGTTTTCACGCAATTTCGACTTTTCCCAATTTCCACGAGTGTTGATCTAACTATGTATCAATACAGAAAAAATTTTTATATTTGTTTTATAATATAGCACAAAGAAAAATATTGAGAAAGAAATTTTCCGATGTTTCCGACTTCCCGTTTTGACATTGAGTTATATCAACACGGCTCTTAGCCAATCAGCGTTCAGAATTTACAAATGCTATATTATAATTGAGTTTCTCACTCATTGAATTGTGAGCGGATTTCCCAACAGGCTCATTGCCCAATTGATACGAGGTATCTGCGACTTGTCACGTCCGTATGCGAGAAGACGCGAAAATTTAACCATTTGTACTGATGTTGATGATTATGGTAGCACTTTCTAGTCCGAATTATTTGAAGACCTTGAGTAGAGGTCCGACCGAGGATTGAACTCAGCTCTCCCAGCTTGAAAGGCAAGCGTGGTGACCACCACACCACAATTGCTGATTTCTTATTTAGGCCCGTTTACACTTGCAATTCTTAATTTGCTGCGATTTCTGGCCGGTGCGCGCGATTTTCTTCTTTTGATGGATGTGAAAGAGTGGGCGAGTATTAAATGCTCAGATGAGGGAACATGTGCTAGAACATTCTTGACTCATGTACTCGTTCACATGCATCAGAAGAAAAAAATCGCGCACAGGTGCGCAGAGGGTAACAAATTATACTTACAATAGAGGTTCAGTTCATAACCGCGTACAAGTTACAACATTTATGAAAAACATGAGACAAAACGAGTTTTATATACAGAAAACTTATCATCTATAAGTTTTGTAAGTTAAAATGTTATTAATATCTCTCGTCACAGATTAGAAAATACACAAAAACCACAAAACCTAACCTAACCTAAAGTAACCCCGACTCTGACCCTGATCTAATCTTGATCTGACCCTAATTCAACCATAATCTAAATTTGACGACTTTTTCTCTCCCAAACTCGCCCTTCTAAGGCCATCACCTTAATGCCCAAAAGTTTTGTCTAATGCTTGTAGTTTTGTTTCGAATCGCGAATTGATTGTATCACTATATTGAGACGTGTTTACAATAACAATTTACTCATATAGTAAACTCAAAGGTCGAGTTCATGTTGAACAACTACGTCTAAGGCGGACCTATGTGAAAAATGCCTTGGCAAGGAATCTTAGCGCAAAGTTGGCACGGAAAACTTTCTATTTTACAACTAGTGCCAGGCCTTTCTCGAGTTCCTTTCTCGAGTTCCTGGTATACAAAATAATATACTCGACCGTGTGATAATTTCCTGTAAAGTCGTGTTGCTTTGCCTGGCTGAGCCCCACTCTCCCAACTCAATGTTGAGCTTTTGTCATGCCGGTAAACTTCCAAAGTTGTTTTAGAGTTGTAATGGAGAGGAGAAGTGACAAAGTTTGTTTTGACAATATGCATTAACTTTGCCGACAATACATATCGCTAATCATCGGTGACATATACAAGATTGTAGTTTTTCCAAAGAATGTAATCACTATAAATTTAATTTTTATCTAGATCAACCTACCTTGACGACGTCCTGACAATCCTCCGTCTCCTCCAAAACCACCACCTCCTCCACCAAATCCAGCTCCATAACCTCCACCCATTCCACCATGCATTCCCCCACCTCCAAAACTCCCACCACGCGCTCCTCCACCAAATCCAGCACCACCCATTCCACCATTCATTCCTCCTCCTCCACCACCACCACCACCACCACGCGCTCCTCCACCAAATCCACCACCACCCATTCCACCATTCATCCCTCCTCCTCCAAAACCCCCACCATGCGCTCCTCCAGCAAATCCACCACCACCCATTCCACCATTCATCCCTCCTCCTCCAAAACCCCCACCATGCGCTCCTCCAC